AATTTATTGGTAATTTTCTTACGTCTTCAACGAGCGTCTTCGTAAGTAAGACTATAAAGCCAAAGTACCTAAAATTCAATAAAATTAGAATGTTTAAAATATTTTTCTAAGTTTTAAAGACTACTTGTTATATATATATATATATATATATATATATATATATATAAAAAGGTGTTAATGTTGTATTCATGAAGTCAGTTTCACAGTTACATCTTCTACTTAAGACGAAACATTAAGCTATTGATAAATTTAATCAATACCTTATAAAAACACCCACCTCCGTATTAAAAAAATGCTTTTTTAAACTATTTAAAACTAAAAGCAAGTAATATTTGTTTTAATTCAGGTTAATTAAACTTTAAAATCATTTAATCTTCGTCAAGTAAAGTTTCAGAAAGTATATTTTATTTTTGAAATATTTTTTAAGAGTTGTGTTTACAGATTTGTCAATATGGCCGATTTTAGCGATTTAAAAAATAATCCCAATCAATTTAAATTAAGTTTAAATATTTTGCTTATTGGAAATATTAAATTTAATCAATTAGCTTGAAATTAAAGCTAAAATGAACATTTCAAGAAAGACTTTATTTTTAAAATGCATTTTAAATCTTGGGTATCACTTTTTTAAGGTACCTACTTAAATATGCTGCCATTTTTTTCGACATTACGTGTATATTAGAAATAAAAGATATAATTATCTGCATTGTATTGAAAGGGAATTGGTATATTTTCAGAAAGGAGTACAGATATAAATTTTTGTTTATAAAATTCTTTTGATAATTTTTTTTTTATATTTCAAACGTTTTATGACAAACTAAGACTAGTTATATTTGGATTTAAATAAAATTTAGCTAGACTGTATTTTTCCAAATTTTATTAGGGTTGGAGTTTTCAGTTGCACGCATCATATTGTCCACATGTATTTTACATCATTTATAAATTGGTTGCTGTTGCAGTAAAATACACTTACTTGCATACATGCAACAGAATAGCCTGTGTGGCCGAGGCAGCAAACGGATGTGAAAGCCTCGACCGCAGAACAAACTGATACAATTTGGTCTATGCGCAGAGAGAGGGATTGACAAACAACTTCCGGCAAGAATAAATAAAAAATTTAAATAGATACAGTTTCAATCGACAATTTCTCAAACTCTTTTCTTCTTTTTTGTAACCTAAAAATTAACTAGTGTCGTCAATATTGGACGCATTTAAATGAACGATATTTAGATTTTAACAGTGAGACGTCAATTAAAATTTCTTGCTGCTACAGTAGACGGACCGACATCAATTTGGATCTCATTCCACTTATGACCAAATTATCCTGTCAAATTTTTTTTTCTCGCCCGAACTTTCAGACAAAAATCATAACTGCCGTAAAGATACCGTGTGCCAGTCGATCAAAACAGGAAATCACCAAACGGAACTTTCTAGATTATTCCAGCACGTTTCAGGTTTTCTGACTGGTTATTTCCCTTGTTTCTCGGAGTAATATAAGATTTGGATAAAAAAAAAAAAAAAGAAAGAAAAGAAAAAAGATTCTCACGAATAAAACGTTTCTATATACTTTGTTCTTAGTGTGAAATGGACTATTTTTTGTCGTCCCACTGCGTTGATTATAAATTTAAATGACATTTCGTTTAGCTTTCTTTTGACTGTAAACCTATTTGTCTATAACAGAGAAGATCCATTAACATAATCAATATTACCGGCAGACTTGCTGTTTGTTCTGTAGTCCTAATCAAGTGTATTCTAAAAAAAAAACAATACCCCCCCACCCAAAAAAAAATTTCTCAATAGAGAATCCGGTAAGGGAAATATTAATGAATATACTAACTGGATCAATCCATTACATCAACTCTAGGGCCACCAAGAACACAGAAGATTCCAAATTAAACTCAGGGGAGTTTCCCAAGACCAACAAAGCTTAGCAAAGAAAACCACGTCATAAGGAAATCTGTACGAGTTCAACTTGCGCCTTTGGCCGACAAATATGCCGTTTTCTTTAATTTTATAATTTCTTAGCGATGTTCGCTGTCAATTCTATAAAGAAGAATTTCAGTTGTTCGAAAAATATTGGGTATAATTAAATGTATGTCTTTAAATATTCTCATAAGTTTTCTTTTTCTCCAAGTCATTTTGCTGCCTATTCAATAGTGGTACGTTGCCATATTGAAATAGATTGATAAAAGTGTAAACTGAAAACCCTTAAAATAAAGTCTATCACGCAGTGGTCAGCGTGTTACTTTCAGAAGCAATTAATCGAACGTTCGGTTTGTTGCGGATGTGAAATGTGTGTTGGAAAGAAATAGAAGGTTTGAATTATCAGAAGGCTTAAAATTGTGTGTGTTCAATAATCTTCCACCCACAACAATTAATACAAGATAGAGAATAACGATTCAAAATCATCTTGTTTCAAAACGTAACAATTGAATTTATTAACATGCATGAATACTGAGTGAAAAGGTTAGACAGAGTTGTGTCTCTTAGATTAGGTAATATTTGTACCTAAGTTCATAAAGTGAAAGTAATTATTAAACTATAGTTTAGAAGAATACAGTTTCTTTAGCATGTTTGGAATTGTGTATTGTACAAGTTGGTAAAAGTTCAGAAGAGATTTCAGAGTTCGTACTTGCGTGAATGTTGGTAATGGTCTTTAACGTCTGATTGCATTAGTTAAGACGGGAGTTCTTGAAGATTACATCGTGGCAAATGAGACGAAAGAGAAAAAGAAACATTGTTTATGCGTGTTTTGTTTCTATATCATCGTGAATCACGTGACTGGCTCAGATGGAAAACGCGGTAAAACAGATTTGTCGCGTGCAGGCGGTTTGATTGGTCGGAATTGACCAATCAGCGAGCTAGATTGAAGGTGATTAACCAATGAATGCTTGTTATATATTTTGTAAGATTGTGATGGTGAAAATTACAACAGGAATAGTTCATTTCCTAGCAGGGGTTAACTGGCTTGTTGTGGAAGAGTCCACAGGTTCTTGTTGAGTGCAACGTAAATGCGGCCTTTTGTCTTTGGCTTAGCTAAGTAAGTAACTACGTTGACGTCAGAAGTGGAGAGAAATAATATTTTATAAGCACATCTATTTGTGTTTTTAAGGACATATTTACGCAAGGGATAAATGTAAATATTTGTGAATATACAAAGGAGTGGCTGCAAAGATCTTGGCCCAATCCATTTCCCAAGAGCTAACCAAACTTCAGAGTTTTTCGAAATCATTTCTTGCTACGGCCGAGAAGATTTCAGCATCCTGTTATCTGCCTTTATCGTTATTAAATAATATTAATTCCTGGACCATGCTACAAATGGTGAACGACGCCATTAAAAATTGAACTCATTTCATTAGTTAAGATCTGCAAGAAAAATTGTTAGCCATTATTACAGGACATTTTTTTAAAATGATTGATTCATTTTCTACGACTTAATAACCTTTTACAGGTTATTTAATGCTAGAAAATATTGTTAGAATGTAAGCATTGTTTCTTTGGAGATAATAATGGTTTAGTCTTAATAATTAACCAATAGCTTGAAGGGAATTCGGTAAATTTTATTAGCATTCTTATTTTTTGTGGTTTTTATAAACAGTTTTTATTATTTACTATTAGCTTCCACGTAATCGCTGGGCGGTGGGCTTCAATGATTGAAGTCAAAGGCCAACGCTGAAGCCCCCCCCACCCACCGCAACGGAATCTAAGAGAAGGATAGGCTCCGCTGGTCTATGAATACCTCTTCGGCTTTCAACGTGGAGTCATCCGGTCATAGTACTGATTATTATTATTATTATTATTATTATTATTAGTTCTCTGATTTCTATATTTGTTCTGCTGAAGAAGTCTGAAGCGTGATATTTTTGTATGCTTAGCTAGTTTTTAATGTATATTTGTTCTTCCCATAGACTGGTTGCTAACCAAAGCTAAAGTAGGCTGGTTTCTGACCAAAGCATGTGCAATGAGCCTCAAGTATAGCTATGATGGCGGCCAGTCATTGAGCATCTAGCACAGCATGTGTAGTAGCACGGATAACATGTAGGCGGGCATTATTCTGCACACACACACACACACACACACACACACACACACCATACTGATATGCATGTGTATTCGTCAATCTACATATATATATATATATATCCATCATCAGTATTAAAAACATTTCGATCCTACCAATCGTTTCGAGATGTGTTTACATTTATTATGTCTAGGTATTTATTATGTCTAGGATGTGCAGTTGGTGTAATCGATAGTGGTTCAAAAAGGGAAATCAGAGAGCCGAGTTCCTTATTCACTTTCGGATAAATATCCTTGGGAAAGGTATTCATCAATCTCTTCTACCTACGCCAACTATGAACAGACTAGATCCTTGGTTGCCAGCCAGTCTAGGAGAAGGTCAACTTTGAATACAAAAACGTATTTAGCCCTGGTGAAGCACGTACGGTTCTTTTTTGTATTTACTCAGTTCACCTTCGTCTGATATAAGAAACATTCATTGTGGAACATTCTGCGAGTGTATGAGGCGAACTCTATGAGGAGCCGTCAAATACTTTTGTTTAAGGTTCATTTCAAAAACTCGCAAACAATAAGGGAAAAATAAAATGAAGCCCCCAACACACACACACACACACACACACACACACACACACACACACACACACACACACACACACACACACACACACACACAACAAAAGAAAAAAAATAAATCTCACTCTTATTAATAGACACACAATTATATACATAATGGCTGGGGAAGTAGACAGCAACCCCACTTTTATTATATAAATACATTATAATCTTTAAACATATATACACAGTGGCTGCTCATTTTTTTTTTATTGAATCAAGTCATCGATTTCTTGATATGTTCCAGCGTCAACAATTTTATTTTTGATCTCTATGTATGTACATTTCATCATCCTTTTTATACTGTATTCCAGTGCAATTGTGTATCTGCCTTCACAAAGATGGCCACTTGCATTTGTCCTTGATACAACATGTTAGCCACTTCTGGATTGCGGTTTCCTGAAGGTTATAAGCATATCTATCTATCTATCTATCTATCTATCTATCTATCTATCTATCTATCTATCTATATATATATATGTGTGAAAATATATAGAAAATAGGAAGGAGCTGGTTAGGTAAATAATCCAAAGTTCCTTAGTATTTTAGTTATTATTTTTAAAAAAATAGTGCTCGACACAAAAGTAGAGCATAAATATAATTATTTATTTAAAAATATGATTCCAAAAAAAAATTTCGCTTGATGATGGAACAGAGCTTACTTTAACTCAATTTAATTCAAATAATTATATTGAATTTTTCGGCTCTTGTTTTGAAACATGAGACCTCTTATGTCGCGAGTTGGAATCATATTTTTAAATAAATAATTATATATATATATATATATGAAATATAATTATTATATATATATATATATATATATGGAGACACACACACACACACACACACACACACACACACACACACACACACACACACACACACACACACACACACACACAATAATATTCAAATCCGCTACTTAGAGTTTCATGGAATAATATTTATGAGGCGGATATAATCTAAGTAATCTAAATAACATAATCTATAAATAGATTATAACCGCCTGAAACTCCGAGTACCGGACTTTGATATTATTCTATTAATAATATTATTATAATATTTTACATTTAAGCTTTGTTGACTTTGGCATTGCGTCCCACTCAGTTTATTTTATATGTTAAGCTTTTAGCATATTTTAGCCTGAGCTTTTTCTCTTAATATATATATATATATATATATATGAAGAAATATAGTTTTAAGGTGTGCTATATTTATGGGATAAAGTGCTCAATATCAGAAATAAAGCGTATGTAAATATAAATACAAAAGCGGCCTGACGATTGCGTCTAGCATGAAACAGCCTGTCGCCTCTGAGTGTTGACTTCAATTTAACAGCCTGTCGCCTCTGAGTGTTGACGTCAATGTTCACTTATATATATACATATATATACATATATACATATACATGCATACAACTATATCTTATACATATATTCATATACATCACATATATAAATTCGTAAATATATATATATATATATATATATATACACATACAAATATATATGCAACCCATATACGTGAATCGATATATATATATATATATATACATATGCCTACCTAAATTTACGAATACACATACATATATACATATTTACACATGTATCCACATTTATATATATATATATATATATATATATATATATATATATATACATAAATTCACATATCTATATGCAAGCCCATATACACATTTTTATACATACAATTATGTACCCGCACACACGTACGGATATGAGGATGATTGTATTGTGTATAAAATCATCCTCAGATATGTATATATAATGTGTATTTGGGCAGCAACCTTTCTTTTAAACAACTTTATTAAAAATGGTAGACAAGGAAGATTTATATATATATATATATATATATATATATATATATATATGAATCCTCTTCTTCTCTCCCCAGCTATGGTTAAATAGCAGGACAGACTGAGTTCTATAACCTTGGGTGGCAAACTGGTCTAGGAGAAGGAAAAACTCTGAATTCAAAACCGGCATGAAGAGGGTTGGGCTTTGTCAGGCCAGCTTGCCCAAGAAACACTAGCTGTACTGTGGGTGTAGTACACAAGGTGCCTCTACGACCCTACGGGCCACGGGATAATGTATATATATATATATATATATATATATATATATATATATATATATATATATATATATATGCATGCGATAAAACATATCTTTTAAGGTATGCCATATTTATGTATTTATATCTCATCTTATACACACTGACTGCGTCCACATTATCCGTATCTAAAATCAATCTCCCCGATATTGAGCAGTCTTCCTCTATAAATGTAGCAACTTTTAACTATATATATATATATATATATATATATATATATATATATATATATGTGTGTGTGTGTGTGTGTGTGTCCGTTTCGAAGTGTTTATATCAAAAAGTATTTTCATCTGAATTTGATACTTGGCTTTTGCGATCAGTGACTCAACAAAATGATTGTACCGGCCATGAAAACTGATCTTGATTTCTTCTCAATATCGTTTACATGTTTTAGATTTTATAAATACTGAGCTGAACCCATTAACTGCGGCAGGAATTTCATCCACATAACAATAGGTTAATAGGCTAAGGAAAATGCAGTTCTGTCTTAATAAATTAAAATGTATGAGCTTTCTTTATTTGTGAAAACTTTCCTGCGTTTATGCCACATTCATCATAAAGGAAGGATTTTGCATAATTCATGATCTCTCAGTCAGTGCCTGCTGCCTATCTATCTATCTATCTATCTTGGTCTGGTGAAATCACTATCTATTTATCTTTCTATCATTGTTTTTATTTAACTTATTTCAGCCTGTATAAGACGCACCAATAATTTGGGAAAGAAAATTAAAAAAAAAAAAAGAATAAAAATATTCAATTTATTCGACGTCTTTATTAATACCGATGCGCCTGTTTTTATATTTTAGCGTAATTCTGATTTATAATCATTATTTAATAATTTATAATCATATATATTTCATTATGGTGTGATCAGGGGATTGGTGTGGTTCGCAGGTAATTAGATGTTAGCTTAGTCCAACTAGCGAAGTATCAAACGCTGGGAAACTATTGGAGTTTGTGAGGAGGGGAAATAAATTCGCCTGAAATTTCAGGAAAACGGTCAGTTTGCAATGGTTAGTTAATCTCAACAATAATTTCATAGAACTATGCACAATGACATATCAGTTAATCAATATTTTCTAGGCCTACATAAGGCTACAATGTTAGGATACCTAGTGCGGAACGAAATTACTACAATATTATTGATTTATAAAACTAGTTTGCAAACGAGGTACCCAAACAAGTAAGAATCTGTTTATCAATATATGTGCGTTTTGTATCATATTTCCTGTCAAAGGATATTGAGTTGTATTTTTTTTTTTTTTACTAATCAAACATTTTCTCGTTTTTTATTTTCCAGAATTGCCTTGAGATGGAGCGTTATTTGAAGAACGAACCACAATTAACAGCATTCAAGAAGATTAATTCCTGGGAACATTCTATTGAGGAGGAAGAGGAAGACGATGAAGATGAAGAAAACGAAAATGGCGAAAGTGAAGTGCGTCTAGAGGAACTTGAAGACCTACACTTGGAAGACCGTACCATGGATTCGCTCAGCGTTCACAGTTTTGGTTCTTCTTCGAGCAGCGTTTCCTGGGATAGTAATATCAGCGAACCACCCGTGTCTCCATCAAAGCCGTCCCAAAGTGACGGGGACCATTCGCCAGTTCTTATGAACAAGTGCCGTATCAACTACCAGCATAAAAAGAATTCGATACACTCGTCACCCCCAGGAACTAAACAAACTCGCCCATATTCTCTGCCGTCAGGTCGGATCTCCCATGTGATACGCAAATTGGACGGCGGCAACAACACTGATCTTCGTAAAAAAGTGCACAAATGCTTTTATGAAGGCTGCAAAAAAGTTTATACAAAAAGTTCTCATTTAAAAGCCCATCTCCGAACGCATACAGGTTAGTGCAATTAAGAAAATGCTTTTTTTTTTTAAAAGATGGTACTAGGTTTCCTCGTTATCCGAAAGCAAATCATTCTTATAAAACCTCTTTTTAATCCGAAATAGCATAAAACAAAAAAATATTTTTCGCTATTTATATTCAAACTATTTTCCTCATCTTTGTTGTTGTTATCACAGTTATTCGGAAGATGGCAGGTCTCAACGACCGAAACGTTGTGATAACCACAACAAAAATGAAGACAATAGTTCGAATATAAATAGCGTAAATAATAATAACTCCTCGTCCCAAAACTTCAGACAGAAACGAAGATGTAATTACTCTCAAAACTTTTTTCCATATATATTAATAGTAATTGATCTCCGCTTTACGCCATTTCACATAGCCGTGGAAATTTGTGTTAATGAAGTTTTTTTCCCAATTATTTAACTGCAAGCAAGGCGATAAAGCCACTAAGACGCAAGGGTAAATGAGTGTGAAAGAATATAAAAAAAGGAGAAACATTATTAAGCAGTGATTTACAATAAAAGAGCAGGAAGATAGCGATTGACATTGCATGATAAAGAAGCCGGAAAAGACTTACAGGGGGGAGAAGTGCAAGAAAAGAAGTTGTTAGCGTAGAACTTACCGTTATATCTCGCTATTTCTACAATAAAATGATGAGACCTTGCCGCCAATCTAGTACTGCGCTTAAATTCATAAAGTCTAGGTACCATAAAGGAAAATTCATCAGAACAATTACCATGGAAATATTCGGTTAATGAAATAAAATTTGGCGTAAAAGAATATTTCGTAAAAACAAAATAAAGACAAAGAAGACATGTATTTTTTATGCCTTTGTTGATTTTTTGAAGCAATTATTACAATTATTATACGGCTTTCTTTGGACAGAACTTGAACTTCAAATGACAATATTATTGCAAATGAAACAATAATGAAAAAGAAATTAATCTAAAACTTGGGAGCATTTGATTCATACAAAGCGCTTGAAATAATGCTTTCGGTGTTCTCATGTCTGCTGAAAAAGGCAAACCTATTTATTTTATCTGTATGTATTTAAAAAATGAAATTGATGTATTTCTTAATATACTTATTCTGTGCGAATAGTGAAAGAAAGAAATTCTGTCAGTCATAGAAATAGTCATCCCCTCTGCACGTTTCTTAAAAGTAAAAGGGTTTTATTTTAGGATAAAGTCATGGACAGTAAATCAGCCTCGTTTTCAGCTAGTTTTAAACGAAATTGTTCGTTCCATGGTTGAAATTGTCATATAAACAGGCATTAACATACTATGCTTTCTATGTTCTCATGTCGGCTAAAGAAAGTAAGTTTTATTTTATTTTTATTTTGTATATCTGTTCTGTTTTTCATTCCTATTAGAATTCTTTTCTCTTCGTCCAATGAAATTCATACGAAGTTAAAACTTTTATGTATTACAACGTCTCCGCCTCTCTATAAAAATTCAAGGTTTTCCTTCTGTACGTAGAAGTCATCGTAAATCTCAAAATTCTACAAGACATTCATGAAATTAAAAATGTATCCCTTCTAGGATTAGATTGTCACCCCTTCATCTAAGCATACATTCGTGTTTCTGTCTTTCAGTAATTCTGTTACACCCCCACCTTTTCCTAGTGGATCCTTTAGTCCTCACATTCGAGCCAGTCAGCCTCAGTGCCTAGGCTCCGCTTAGGCATATGTTTCTGACTCATGTAGAAGTTCTGCTACCTGATTCATGGGTAAACGTTATGACTACACGTTATTACTCTGCCTGTAATCTCTTCCCAAACCTGTATTAGTTGCCCCTTAATCGACGATGCTGGATGTAAGCGCTTCTCTGGGCTGAGGTTATTCGCCTGATAGTCAGGGATCCGAACCTTAGCGCAACTCATAAAGAGGTTATCCTATCAGCAAGTGCACAATATCGAGGTTTCTATACTGCCATTTTGTGAATGTGATTTGGACCATGCACCAGTTTCTGGCGGGGCCTCTGGATGCCACGAAAAAGAGTGAGTTAAGGCTGTGATTAACTTGGGTGTTTTTTGTCCATCATATACCACTTGGGGTGTTGCAGTCACGTTACCTTTATTCTTCACGCCATATACCAAAAATGAAAAATGAATACAATGTCCAAAAGAACCAAACTCAGACAAAACATAAAGTAGATCCCAATTTCCCCATTTCCTTCACTAATATAAGGGCTCTACGCTTCAATTATCCAAAGTTTGAACTATACTTTCAAGAGGTCAAGCCTGACCTCCTGTTCATATCCCAAACTGAAATCAACGACTCTATTCCAATTCAAGACATCACGACCTCGGGTTATTCACCCCGACTCACAAAAGAGGAGCCTCTAAATAGACACGGCCATAGACTTGGGGCTTATATCACGGATAGGTTCCCCTACGGTAGAGATACTAAAAAAGAGGATCCTGATTTTTTGCTGACCCTCGTTCATATCCTGTTCTTTTTCAGTGCTTATCACCCTCAGGATGATGGTATTGTAATATATGACTGAATAGAGAAGAAGATTGATGACATTCTTTCCGTTCATCTCTCAGTTACCATTCGCACATTTGGTGATTTCTACATTCACCACAAGGAGAGTGCCGTGTCCCCTCAGGGCGTAGCCGATCTTGGCTCTCTACAATTTCCTATCCTTTTGTAGCTCTTAATAAACTTTTATTCGTTATTTCTCCTAAACCTGTTCCACCATCCATTTACTCAAGTTTACTAAGTTGGTTACGCGTTGTTTTCCTCTGTCCCTCTTGCCCTCAGTCTGTCCTGTGACTATTAGATTTTCCAAGCCCGCCTTCATTATGTGCCCTAGAAATTTGAACTGTCTGATTCTGATGTTAAGTATTAGTTTCCTTTTTATTTCCATTTTCTCTAAAACCTCCTCGTTGGTCACATGTTTGGTCCATGACATCCTCATCATCCTGCTATAGAACCACATTTCTGTTACTTCCAGTGTCTAATAACGAAATTATATATATATATATATATATATATATATATATATATATAATCAGCTTTTGGAATGCATCTTTCGCTCCGAGTTTCAGTGTCGCACTTCCCGTCCTCTGGTTGAACAATTCCCAGATATTTACATTATTGTGCTTGCTTGATTTTGGTATGTCCGATTTGTATTTTGCATTTTGGGCTGTTCCTTCTGCTAACAAGCATGCATTCTATCTTCTTGCAGTTTATGTTTAGTCCTTTCTTCTAGCTTTCCTTTGCTCCTTAAGAGTTTCTGTAGTTTTCTTTCAGTGTCTGCTATCAAAGCTGTGTCATCTGCATATCTTATGTTGTGAAGATTGTGGCAGCCAATAACGAATCCTGGTAAGGCATCTAATTATCTCAGAATTACCTCGCTTCATAGATTGAATAAATCCAGCAAGAAGACAAATGCTTGTCTTACGCCTCTTTCTATTTTATATCCGCATGCAGGCGGTTTGCTGCCAGTATAAGTTCTTGATTATTCTAATATCCTCCCCAAATATATCAAGGTTGCTAAGCAATTCTAACAGATATTTTTGGTGTACTTTATCGAGCACCTTTGCGTAATCTATAAAATACGGGTACACACCCCTCTGCATTTGTATTGGTCTTTTTGATAGTATTATGAGCGTAAATATTGCGTTCCTTGTGTCTTTGACGAATCCGAACTAGTTATATCTCCAGTCTGATTCTACTGCACACTCTCTTCATCTAAATTCGGATGATGAGTTTTGTTAAATTAGGCTTATTAGGCTGATTTTCCGGCGGTGTTCCCATTCATTTTCACCTAGTTTCTTAGTCAATGATATGAAAATAGATTCATTTAGGTCCTCCACTATAACGCCACTCTTGTAGATTCCATTTATTATTTCTTTAATCTTGTCTATGCCGAAATCGTCTTGAGCTGCCAGCACCTCTATTACAATTCCGTCTGGCCCTGCCGCTTTGTTTCTGATTAGTTTGGCCAGTGCTGCTTCCACTTCGGTTTTTAATATTTCTGGTCCGTCGATATTTCTGTGTATTAGCTGTTGTCCTCCTTCGTCATGGAAGACTTCTCCGATATATTCGTTCTATCTCCAAAGTATTTTGCTTTCTCTAATAACAGCGTTTCGTCCTTCGATTTTATGCATCATGCTGATGAAGCTATCTTTTGTCCTTTTAGGTCTTTTATTTTTTTATGTATATCTGCTTTATCTGTGATACTCATTCTTTCTATTTATGGACATTTTTCGTTGAGCCGTTCCTTTTTAGCCTGTCTGCATTTGTTCCGTATTTCGTTGTGTAGTGTTCTAATCCTTGTTTTTGTCTCCTTTTCATCATGTCGAAAATCTCATTTGTCATCAATTCGTTTTTTTTCTTCGACCATTTTCATTTGGGATGATTTCATTTGCTGTTGTCACTAAAGCTTCTCTTAGGGTGTCCCACTTCGAATTTCCATTTGGTATCTTGTATTTTCTTTTCACACTGTCCATATATTTTTCCTTCAGGTTCGGATCGTTCAAGAGTCTGTTGTATTGCAATTTGGGTGCTATGTTAGGCCTCTTCAATTTCCATAGTTTCGTTCTAAGTTTATATATAACAGGGAGGTGATCGCTTCTGCAGTCGGCACTTGGATAGGTTTTGGAGTGTACAGCTGCATTCCTGAATCTCGTGTTGATAGTTATGCAGTCGATTTGGTTTTTTCTTTCTCTCCCTGGGTTTTTCCATGTCCATATTCCTCTTGAGTATTCTTGAAACCAGGTGTTGTTTACTACTTGGTCGTTCTCCGTTCACCATTGGGCCCATTTTTCTCTGCGTTTATTACTGGTTCCTAGTCTGAATTTGCCAACGTTTTCACCATTCCTTTTATAGCCTGCTTTAGCATTCAAGTCTCCCATGAGAAGTATAATTTCTTGCAATTTACATTGAGCCTTGGCATTGTATAGCTTAGAGCAGAACTTCTGTACTTTATGTTGTCGGTGCATACACAACTATGATGGATCTGTTTATATTTCTGAGATGAGGTATTGGCCTCATCTTTATTGCCATATTCCCAACGTTTCGGCCGTTGTACACTCCGGTAAATTGTTATAATTCCAAGTGCCATGCCTTTGGTTATCTCAGTGTTAGTTAATTCCCCTTCGTAACTCAACTCTCCAAGATTTTATTCTCTCGGCTGTGGTCATGTATGAAATCACAACTCTTTGAGTGAAGTCACTTTTTGGATCACTCAACCAATGCTTTTATCTACTGGGCAATATTCGGAATTGAAAACTTTATCCCCCACAAAAAACTACCAGCAAAAACCAAATAGCAAGCCCTGGTTCATGCCTGAATGTGCTGCGGCTATAACCTCTACTATCGTCTCTTTTAGAGTGAACGGTGTAGCAGAATCCTTGCTTCATTCAGAACTGCACGCAGGAGAGATGCAAAGTGCAGCCATGCACAGCAAGTTCAAGCGAATGTAGAGAACAAAAAAAAAAAAATGAATGCCCCGAGTTCGGGAAAATTGAAAATTAGAGGCAAACCGACAGCCCCCACCCCATTATCAATGGCTCTGAATTATCACCTTCTCACCGGATAAGGCTAAGCTCGTGAGGATACGCTTTGCCTCTAACTCTAGTTTAAACGAAAAAAACATTACTCTTATGATTTTCCCATCTCACGGAGCACACACTTTGTGAAATCTCTATCGGCTCGGGAGGTTTCCAGATTTATAAAAAACCTTGACTCTATGAAGTCTACGAAAGAGGGTGACTGAATGGGATGGATTAGTATGGACGTAAGGGGAGAGAGTAAGTGAAGATTATGAAGATATTACTGACCTCGGATCGAAGAGCTTTCAATTATAGTGTTCGGCGAAATTTCTATGTGTCAGTCTGTTCTACAAAGAAGCGATGCTTATGAAGGAGTTGAACTTCTTTCTTAGAAATGGAATATGAAGAGAATAACAGTGATTTGATCCTGTAGTTATAAAGTTTTGTTGGGAGTAAAGAATGGCTCTTGCTAGGACATTTTCCATGGGAACAGTGATAGATTTGCGACATAGTGTCTGTTGGAAAAGAGACGGTAGGGTGAGAAATAAGAAAGCGTAAACGATTTCGAACTTTGTCAAGGCTGGAAAGTGAAGATTGTTGTTGTAGAGTAGTTTTCACAGTTGAGCCTTGTATTTCAATAAGTCGTCCTAAATTAGGTTCGACGTACAAAACGTTAGGAACTTGAAAAAAAGAGTTAATGACGCAGCAATCTAGTTGTGATGGTTGGTACTTCAATGTCCGACATCGACTGACTCACTCAACTCCACTGAGCTCAACTGGCCACTGCTACTACTACTTATTATCTGTGGGAGAGTCTATTACAATAGAATAGGTATTATGGTATAACAATTGTATAGCTCCAATCCTGATGTCGAAGGATTCTGTATTCTCTCATTAGTCGTTATACCTTTTTTCAGTGTTTATTGATTTATATTCATTTAATATATATTTTGTTTTATCCAGGAGAGAAACCGTACAAGTGTACCTGGGCTGGATGTGATTGGCGCTTTGCTCGGTCGGACGAGTTGACCCGTCACTATCGGAAACATACAGGCGCAAAACCTTTTCAGTGCAAGCATTGTGAACGCTGCTTCTCGCGTTCTGACCACCTCGCGTTACACATGAAACGTCATTTGTCCATGGATCTCTGACATCATACGGCAGCCATGTTTACAGACCAGTCAACTAGCCAACCAGCCAGCAAGCCTCTACCATCACCACCACCACCACCACCATCACAAATACAGACAAGAAGTACGGACAAGATCTTTTGTTGTTTCATTGAATTATACATCAAAAAAGAGAAAAAAAAGAAAATAGAAAAGAAAAGGACTTTTAAAAAAAATGAAAAATATTTTTATGCTCCCTCTTGATATTACATTTTGTTTATTATTATGATTATTTGATTTGGCTGACATTTCTACATCTGTGATATTTTTTCGCTCTTTTTGCATTCGTATAATCTCAGAAGCTTATAAAATTCCGAGAGAAAAAAGTAAAAAAAAAAAAGTAAAAAAAAAAAGAAAAAAAAGAAAGAAAAACAAATAGAATTCTCTTCCTCCTCATCTCAGAAGGTGTGACCACTCCTAGCAAGCGTCCAGTCGAGAATATTTTCTGAACACTGAACACATCCTTCCCAATTATTTTTTGTAACCAAAAAGAAATTACATATTTCTTCATTTTTTTTTTTAAAAGAAAATTATTTTCATGAAAAATCGAACAATAAGTTTTCCCGTCATAAGAAAGTAATAAACACTATATATCTTTTATTTCAGCACACACACACACACACACACACACACACACACACACACACACACACACACACACACACACACAGACAGAGAGACAAAAGCATACCCACAATAACCATTTTCCATTGCAGAAAATATTCGAAGAAATTAGATGTTATGCAAACAAGTATGTCGGCTCTTAGACCATTCGCCTTAGCTCTTTTTTTAAGTCTTCAGACGGGTCATGGGAATTGATTATATATAATTTTTCTATTTATGTATATGTGTATATGTAAAGGCCGTATTTCTAAATTCCAATGCATCTTTTACGCCGAGTTCATACAATGGCGATTACACTTTTTACTCCATTCAGAATATTGCTTTGCGGCTGATGAATTATAAAACATTTTTTCGCTTTGAGTCACCTGATGATGATAGAAGAACATACTGATCAAAACATTGTACAAAGGAAAACAAAGCAATAATAATAATAATAATAATAATAATAATAATAATAATAACAATAATAATAAAACAAAAAATAAATAGATATTAATTTTCATAAAATGAAACTCTATGCGTTTAATAAGATGACTGCCACTTCAGAGTTCTAATTGATATGGCCCTTAGTTTATTCTCTAGTCCACAGGGTGTCAGACCAAAAGAAGAAAAAAAAATGAAACTATTGTGCCTTTTTATTTGATAGACCAAAAACTGAAATAAATTATAGTTCAACACGTCTGTCGGTTTGATTTACAAACAATTGCTTTTGTGATGATGGATCACTTTTTAAAAAAATGATTTGTTTGTTTTGGTAACAAATGAATTAACAATACAATGAATGCTGCACACCTTGTTCTTTTATTAGTAGTGTAGGTACTTATAGCATGCACTCGGTATATAAAAATCACAAATAGGACATTATATATACATTAATTACTATAATTTGTCGATTGAAATGGAATTACTTTTGACACGGTAATTATCCATGTGTTAGAAGAATTTGGACAAAATAATCGTGGTTCTCTTAAGTGAATTGTTCAGTTGGCATCGTTTCGGATGCTGGTTTTCTAGGCTGGTAGATCTTCATCATTTGGAAGATTGGTATAACATAATCTGTCTATTGCTATTTTTGCTCTCATTCGGCCTTGAACCATATTCAGTTCATCATGTAAATGTGGAAGTGAACACTACAGAACATTTCAATATTTAGTGTTTCTTTCGATTTTCAAACCAGGTAGGCGTTCCTCTCAGTCAATAACACCGACATGACATGACGGCATTATGATAAGACTAATGAGATTAACATGTAGTAAAAAGGAGGGCATCAATAACTAAAAAGTTACCTATTACATGCGAAATGGAAGCAAATATTTACACCAAACTAATAACTATCAAATGGTCAGAAGTTGATTTCTAGCCTTTTCTATGGAGTGGAGATAACTAAGAAGAGCTACCATACTTAGGTCGTAGGATTTTGTCTTTCGACCCACCCAAAGAAAAATGGTGCCTCACCATTAAGACGCAGAGTATATTGAAAAATGTGTCTTTAATAATTGTTTTCAAAAGTAATGGAATAATTTCACTTTTACTCTGCTATCACAGATCAAAATGCCCAATTGAATGTTTTTGGATAAAATTATATATTTCTGACACTTTTATGCCATAGTCGTTTAGGACGTAAGCAATCATGGCGTTTTACTGCTTCCTTTGTAGATTCTTACTCCTTTATGATCCCACTTTGTGATACTCTTGTTCCTCCATGGGTTTTTTGCTCAAACTTCTCAAGTAGTTTACTTGCTGCTTCGTCATTTTCTATTGCCTTCGATGTGTGAGTTTTAAATTCTCCAAGTCATATTTCCTCATTATGTATTCTCCAAAATTCCAGTTGTTTGATTCTGATGATTTCTATCGACAATTCCTTTGTAGTTGAAAACTTTCTCATTTGTCACATACAATGTCTATGGTATTCTCAACATTCACAGCTAGAACAATACTTATATGCCTCAAGTCGTTTCTTTTTTATTTTACATTTTTGACGAAATTCTCCAGCTTTCACTGCCATATGGGACTAATTTGAAGGCTGAGTAGTAGTTGCAGCAATTGACTATTACAAAGATATCTCTACCCGTTGAATAAATCCGTGGGCACAAACTGATGTGACACCGAGAGAGGAAGAAAATCAAGAGTTATAATTCATGAGACGGTGCTTCCTCCTTTGAATTATCGTCATATTATTAAAATATGGATTTTGTAAGCATCTGATTATGAATAGGGTTTTAAAAAAAAAGACCGGGTGTCAAGAATTGCTTGATGAAGGATCAAAGGGAGAAGCGAAAAACAGAATAAATTACTCTTTTTTATTTACAAAGTCTGTCCAGAAAGTATCTAAACATTTGTTTTTAGCAGAAAAAAAACTATCTTACTTATATACATGTCATAATTGCTCTTGAAGCCAATGGGTAGCCGCTTGCGATACTGGTGCATCTAAAGATAATGAATTTTAATGGGTCTGCGGAATCAATTAGTGATATAGATAATGTTATAATCTGCTGTTGTCATGATTTATGGTGCTTGCAAATAAAATAATTTTCCCGGTTCTATGCTGTTTGGCTATTGGGTGGGTGTATTAGTTACAGCTTTGAACGCGTATTTTTTATGGAGATGGGTTTAGCGTTTGTTACATTAACAATGTTATATATATGTCATGGCAGAATATTTTGTTTCTCTTGATAATATTTAGTATAACAATGAATGTATCGTGAACAAGACTGCCCTTTGTTATCTTATACACGCATGCAGACAAAGTAAACAATATAGTTCTTTTTTTAAGTTGTATCTTTGCACTCACAACTTGTCAGTTGAGTTTAGATGATTGCTGTCGTTATAAATGATGTTTATTCATAGATAATGCCGTCTTATATAAGGCTTATGGGCACCTCGAGGTGGTGTAATGGCTAGCAAGCTTGTCTCGCTAGAACAATTACGATTGATTAGTGAGTTCGATCCTCACTGGATACCCCCTACTTTCGGCCTTGTGCCACATCTAAGCTACGCTTGGAAAATCGCTATAAGGCTTATACCATGTTCTGGAATTTCTGAAAAAATAGATTCAAAGTAATACTAAAAAAATACCTAAAACAAACTTGTAAATATTCAAAATTTGACAAATGTACAAAGGAAGTAGTTAGTAAATATTTCGTTTCTGTATTCAGATGATCATCATTTTAATTTTTTATTTGTCATGATATACAAGATCAGTATGATTGCTAATTTTCAGAATCAAGGTTTACCGAAATTAAAATCCCAGACGCACAGATCACACACGTTCATAGCTCACCCCCATAAACATTGTATATACAAGGAGGGACAGGAAAATTACAGTCCAGACTCATTTAAGTATTTCAGTGGGAAAATGGGTCGGCTCAAGAACTTTTCAGCACCTCGTTGTAACTGTTAAATGTCCTTTTGCCTTGAAAATTTGTAATATCAGCATTTACACTGACACCCTAAGATTTGAGAACGTCTGGTTAAGGGCAACTTTTAATCTTCTCCAAGTTTTTTTTTTTTTTTACCTTCTTAGACGCTTTGTGTCTTGAATTAACTATTAAGTGAACTATTTTCAAATATAACCTTTTAGAAAATCGACAAAATCCTGCTGATCTTAAGGCACGAATAATGGACGTCGGTCAAAGCAACAAAGCGACGTTCTGAAAGAGATACATAATCTCAAAAGAATGAAACAAACAAAACTAATTATGTAATCTCCTATAGCAAATACGGAACAGAGGCTGCTGACAGGCCTTTTTGGCATCACAAGGTCTTCCAGATGATTGACTGTCCTTAATGAATCTAACAGTAGACTAAGTGAGGAGAGAAAGCATATAACGCGAGTTTGAGGTGGACTAAACAATAAACACTGTGAATGCCATTAAAAATCCCTAAATAATTATTTTCGTGTGTGTGTATATATATATATATCGAAAATATGTATGAGGTGGATTATTAATAACGACTGCAAAGTTTACTATTTAATCTTCTTTTGTTCATATATATATATATATATATATATATATATATATATATATATATATATATATATATATATATATATAAAGAAAAAAAAAATATATATATATATATATATATATATATATATATATATATATATATATATATAACTATGATGACGGTTGACGACAACCGAAAACGCTCGGCAAAACCCCAATGTCTGGGCTCTTTAGACTCAAAAAAACAATACACAGATATATGTGTATGCGTGTTTTTATGCATATGTATGTATCGATGTATGTACATACCAGCAGCTAATAGAACACATACACACAC